TCCATGCATCCGTAGTCTGAAAACCACCAACTAAATTTTCAACTTGGACACATTTTTGTTCCCAGAAATTGTTTTTTACTTCTTTTATTTGATTACGTACTTCTCCATTTTTTCTTTGATGTGTTATTTTATTGCTAGATGTTTTACTTGTTGACCATTTCTTAACTATTTTGTTTTTTTCTTGTATTATTTCTTTTACGTTTTCTGGCATCCGCGGTTGTTCGTGGTGTTTCTTGTCGCTGTTATCTATTCCTAATACTTTATAAGCAATATTTTTATTATCGTTTTGAGGTTGTATTCTTGTTCTCCTTCCATATTTCTTTTCATCTCATTTAGTTCCTTTTCTAATCTAGATTGAAAAAGATTTATAATACTTGATTGGAATAAAAGGTGCAATTTATATATCTGCGTTTTGTGCCGTGTAGTATTGTTTCTTTCACTTTCGCTGTTCTGTTTCTAATATTGTTTAAAGGGACACAAAATATTAGCTAAAAGAAAATAGTGATCTGTCCCACAGTTAGATTCTCTTTTTACTCTGCAGTCTTGGCACTTAAATTTTGATTTCTGTCTGATTATTATATAGTCTATGATCGACTTCTGTTGGAGTGAAGGTCTTACCAAATGTATTTATGAATATCTCTATGTTGAAATTGGGTATTACTTATTTTTAAACAAAAAATTTGACAAAACTCAATTAAGTTGTCCCCTGAACCATTTTTAACTATTTCTCCGTGCCGTCCCACCTCGTCATCGTCTATTTGAGAACCTACTCTGGCATTTAGGTCGCCTAACAGTATTATTTATTTATGACTTTTTATTTTATCACAAATATTTGATAACTCCTCTTAAAAGGAATCTTTAACTTGTTGAATTGATCAAAGTGCCAAAGATTTAGGTATCCACCTCACCCCCCTGGGTGCGCCACAGGTCATCGTGTAGAAGTTATTGCTCTTTCTGTTTAAGTTTAAGTATTGGTATTTCCAGTTCTTATAAGGTTTACAGTTAACTATTCCACAATCATTTTGGAGGATCGTTTAATAGGTTATCTTATTTGTGCGAGGTTCTTCCGTACTATCTTCGGTTTCCTTGTCCATCTCGTTATGTCGTCGATTTGCCAATTTTCTTCTAGATGTGCATTTCTTTGTCGGTTATAGGCGTTAATAGTTTTTTCCGTTATAACTGTTAGTAACAAACACTAACATATCAAAAAAGAAAAAACCATGGTTTAGAGAGGAAGCGTAGACAAAATGTGAAGAAAAGAAGAAATCCTTTTTACAACACAGAACACAACAAACACAAGAGGCATACAATCACTATAAATGAATTAGAACTGAAACGAATACTGTAGTTAGACAAATAAAAAGGAAACACTGGCAGAGCTTCTCAAAACAGATGGAACACGACTTCAACGGAACACAAAAAAAATATGGAGAATTATCAGAAGAACAAAGAAAAGAGATGAACGAACTAATAAAAACGAAACAGATTCAGGAGGAAACATGGACAGACTACTTTCGATTCATATTTGCTAAAGGTAAATATAATGAACCACCAACACCAGAGGTGACGATAAACGAAAAAATAAATATTGGAGGAGGAATAGGTCTTCTTTTATTCAAGGTCAGTTCCTATCGGAGATTGGAAATCATTCTGACAATTATAATTTTGTTTGTTACGCGCTTGAATAGTTCAATTGAATTGCATCAAACCATTCACGGACTTTGCGTATTCACGAGATTTTATGTCTTCCTAAGCTTCTTCTGTCTTTGATCTTGCCCTGCATTATATTCCTTAATAGTTCGTATTTTCGGCACTCATCATATGCGGAGGCAAAGGAAGCATTTAAGAAAAAAAAATAGAAAATCACCAGGAGAGGACAGAATACCGAACGAACTATTAAAGTACGGAGGACCAGATCTGACCAAACAACTATTAAAACTAATCCAAAAAATAATTGAACAATACAGAATTTCTCAAGAATGGAGATCCTAATACCTTTCCAAAAAAAAAGAACAAATCGGACTCAGAAAATTAGAGAGGAATTAATTTATTAAATTTAACACAGATTAACAACCAAAGTGACAACACATAAACTGAATGAAATTATAACATTAGCATAAGAACAATAAGGTTTTAGGTCGGTTAGGTTTTATCTTTATAATGAGCAAATGAAAGAGAAATCATTAGAATACAACAAAACGGCATATATCTATTTTTCGTGGACCTTAAGAAGGCATTTGACCGGATTACCGAAATTAAAGGACGTTATCCACTTATTGTAAAAAAAATACCTCTAGGAAAAATCAAATCGATCGAAAATATCTATGAAAACAACACAATAAAAGTAAAAGTAGAAGAAGAACTAACTGACCCTATTAAAGCTGATAATGGGATAAGACAAGGAGATTCCATGAGTCTTCTATTGTTCAACCTGATTATGGATGAAATTAAAAACAGTAAGAACTACAAAAGGATACCAAATGGAAGAAAAACAACTTAAAATAATCTGCTATGTAGACGACACAATACTACTTTCTCACAGTGAAGATGATTTACAACGTATACTGGACCAGTTTAATATAACCGCCATAAAATTTAATTTCCCCAAAATATTCAATGAACCAATTTGGAGAAATAAAAATATCGGGAAAGAAATGAAAGGCAAAATTTACAAAACAACCATCAAACCAATACCGATAATGACATATGCGGCAGAAATTAACCATCTGCTGCAAATGTAATTACACCTGTACATATTATCAAATCACTGCACCTGAACAATTTTTCTTCGGTCCAAATTATTGTGAACAGTAATATCTTAGATTTATGGGTTTAGATTCGCCTCTGGATTTGATAATAAGTCCGAAAAAGATCAAGAAAATTCAAATTTATGTGATGGGCACTCAGGTTAAAGCTATTTTTTACTCGTTAAAATTGCCTGATGCAGAATCAAATGATTTTTTTGTAAAAAAATAACTAGTTATGGAAACTAAACACGTGCCACGGATAAGGACGGATCTTTTATGACGACAAAAGTGACAACAAAGGACAATGAATATAGGAACCTGAAATATATTAAGCCTATATAGGCCGGAAACCCTAGCTCAGGTGACCAAAGGTCTTGAGTACAGAAGCATGGATATAACTACCTTACAGTTTATTATTAGATAGACTGGAGAAGGCATACTAAAAACAAAGAAATCTGTAGTATTTTTCAGTGGAAGTGAACAGAAGCACGCATTCGGCAGTGACTTCATAGTCAAGGAAACCCTTGAAACTAGAGGAACTGACAAATATTCTCCCCAAACAGGAGATGCATATTATCTTGGGAGATTTCAATACAAAGATTGGAAAGAAAGCTGCATACAGGCCAATAATAGGTAACCATAGACTCCATGATGTCTGTGACGATAATAGAAGTTTACAGCATACCACAACTACTAATAAAATCAACTATATTCTAACATAAGAAAATACACAAAGAAATGTGGGTCTCAAATGACCGTGTCACAAGAAATCAGATCGATCATGTTTTGGTAGATGCCTGGAGGGGTAGTAACTGCTTAGACATAAGAATGATAAGAGGGGCGGATGGAGACACGGATCATTTTCTGGTAAAAACGAAGATAAGAACAAGAATAGTGTCAGAAAAATTCACAAGAATACTCCCAACAACATTATGGAATACCGAAGTTCTGAGGGATAGTGAGATAAAGCAGGAATTTTAAAAGGATATAGAGATTTGTTTTCTTTGTTATTATCATGTATTTGGTCTTTTTTATATTCATTTTTCGTCCATATTTTTCACAGAAACTGTTTGTTTTGTTTAGCAGTAATTGAAGTTGTTAATTATTATTCCTTCACTTTGAGATAGTAATGCTTCTTCAAAAATGGCTTCCCTATATACATTAAATAGTAATGGGGACATAATACATCCCTGCCTAACTCCTCTCCTGATTTCAATTTCTGGACTAAGCGTGGGCATATAAGCTCAAATGATAAACCCCACAGTGGACGCTCAAAAACTATTTGGTGGAATAAATTTTACTCTAAATAAATAAAAAAATAAAATTTAAAGTTACTTTATTTCGCTCATTTGTATTTTTTACAATTAATCAACACAATACGTGTGTCATAACAACATTATATATTTCATAACATATATTACATATTTTCTTAATAATAATTTGTAATAATACTCTAAACCTTAACCAAAAAAAGAAAGAAACATCTTTCGAAGGGTGTATATTGTTATTAATCTATTTAAAAAATTTATTACAAATAAAGTCACAACTTAAATTAATAAATCTCCTAGGAATTTATAAGGAAGTAACTATGATAAAATAGAATGGCAGGCAAAATAACAATCAATAATTGATAAATCGATGTGCTATATGTATTATCAAAGAATATAGACGCTTAAGCTATCAAAGAATATAGACGCTAAGCGTCTATATTCTTTGGTATTATCATAAAATAACAGTTTTCGTTGCACAATTACACAAAATCAGTTACAAAACTGTATCATCATGAAAATCTCAACCGACAACCAACAATCCATATAGTCAGGAATCAAAGTGTAACAAAGCTTGACTAAAGTTAAATGTCATTATCTAAACTTTTTTTCATGTTGTAGCTTTTATCATCACTGATTAAGCTATACATATTTTAGGTCTTTACTTTGTGTCAAACATTTCGTACAGTTTTCTATTATTGTAACTTTCTGACAACTTTGCAGTCATAAAAATTTCTCAATATCCTTCTAAATGTTACACACACTATAACAAGTATAAAAAAATATTTATAAAATCTTAGAGTTGATCAAAAACAAACGCAATAGGGACATGCACAGAGAAAAGAAAAAATACATTTTCTTTTAAAATATAGAATTTCCCATTTTTATGATGATATAGGTTTCTTCTAGTAATGTTATGTCTTATAAGTCCTGGGAAATTATTACTTTAAATTTGAAATGGAAATATTTATTTACCAACTCATATTATAGTATCAGAATCTATTAAAAATATCCATAATATAAATTTGAATATTTCTGTAATAAACAAAGAGCACGCACAATTGATTTATGGATAACTCAAGGAACTACTGATTTTATTTAACCTGCCATTGCTTGCATAGTCATTTGCTAATTTGAACTGTTAACAGAAACAGAACAGTATAGTGTTTCTATCGCATTTCCTATTCGCACTTGCTTTTTACTGTAGTTATTATCATATTAGTCTGGTGAATTAGATATAGGGCACTAACAAATACTGCATTGGCACTGAAATAAGAAAAAAATGTTAAAGTATGTATGTATCATCTGATATAAAAATTGTACAATATTTTCCCCTATGGTATCTTCGGATTTCTCTACCTTAAGGAATAATTAACAAAAATTTTAGAAAAGTTGTAAAAATCTACTTACTGTCCTTCTTTAAAATACTCTTTTAATGTATTACTAAATTTTTTGGAATACTTGACAAATTCTCGTTTTCGTTGTTCTAACGACTGTTTTCCTGTTGTACCTGGAATGAAACCATTTACTGCATTCACAGCGTCTAGTAACTTCTTTATAGCACTGGCAATTTCCCTGGAAAAATAAATAAAATATTAAAAACATAGAATTATTATATAAGGTTTTTTTTATATACATGTACAGTTGCGGTCACGGAATAGTTTACAGGTTCACGTATCTAGGAGCCCATTTTTTAAATTTTTACTTCGTTTAAACGCACCTTTTACGTCAAAGTGACGTTGCCAGTGGTGTACTAGCTAGAATAGGTAGATTAAAATTAAAATATCAAAATATTTTACAAAATGAAAAATATAGAAAACAGTTTTTTGAATAAAATGGATTATGATCTTAATAACGAAAATAAAGAAGTCTTTTTTTTAATATGCATTTTATTTTAAATCTATTTTATATTAAATAACGATAAACAATGATAAATAATAATTAATATTTGGTGGAAGCCCCATTCTTGTCAATACAATTTTGCAGTCTTCTGTTCATAGATAGCACCAATCCCCTCATGTTATAGTTAACAAGCTCTTCCCATGCCTGCTCAATTGCTTCCCATAATTCAATTCTATTCCGTGGTCTAAGGTTTCTTTCATTTAGTTTCTTTGTTAACTCTGCCCACACATTTTCGACGGGGTTAAAGTCTGCACTACGGGAAGGCCACGGAAGAACATTAACATCAGTTTCTTCTAGCCATTCTCGAACAATTCTACTCGTATGCACCGGGCAATTGTCATGTTGGAAGATAAAGTCGTTGTTGGGGAATCTCTGGATCACCGATGGCAACATTGTGTGCTCAATAATATGTTTGTAATATAATCCTGTTAACTTCTCCTCTACATGATAACAAACGCCCGGGCCTTCGGCACTTATCCATCCCCATACGTTGACAGAGAATCCTCCACTATTTCTTAAATGATGCGTATACTGTTCATCATACCTATGATTTCTCGGCCTATAAACTCTTATTCGACCATTATTATACGACTGAAATACTTTTTCATCGGAAAATACAACCCTAGACCAAAAATTCTCATCGCGGTTTATAAATTCATTACAAAATTCAACTCGTCTCCTCTTGTGATCCTCAGTCAAAAAAGGTTTCCGTGCAGCTACACAATTTAGCAGTCCACTTGCTTTAATTCTTCGACGTGCAGTGCGAATACTGCCTGGAAACGCTGCCTCTTCTCTTGCCTTTTGAGCTGTGGCAAAAGGAGATTCTCTCAAATAATCTACTAACATCTCATCCTGTTGATCTGTGGAAATCTTCTGCCCTCCTGAACCGCCCAACCGTGCTATAGAGTGAAAATTATCCCATCTTTGTTTAATCTTCCATATGCACATATGACTCACGTTCAAATCAGCAGCAACTTGCCTTAGTGACCAACCTTCTTCGAGTTTGGCAATTGCTCTTGCTTTTTGCGCATAATTCAAATGTATTCTAACCATTTTGGAAGAGTTTAATATACTTTTATTTTATTGTTGAACACTCGCGAAAGCATTGACGTTTTGAAATTTTTTGACTTTGACATTTATCAAATCCGTACGACACTGCAATTTTACAGTATTACAATATAAAAAGTAAGGTGTAAACTATTCCGTGACCGCAACTGTACATTATATGTACATTTTACAAGCTTTTTGATATATATATATATATATATATATATATATATATATATTATATATATATATATATATATATATTTATATATATATATATATATATTTATATATATATATATATATATATATATATATATATATATATATATATATATATATAACTGTTTTTGATGAGTTGGAGTCAATAAAAGGGGCTATTTGTTGACTATTTTTTACTCGAGCTTTCAATTGTGATTACAATTTTTTATCAAGAGCTTCTAAAAAATACAAAATATCTTACAAAGTTGAACTAGAAATAAAAATTTTTTGTTAACTCACCAAATAAAATTAGTTTTTTATATAAAACTACTGCTTACATATTAAATACAAAAAATATTAATAAAAAAATGTCTTATTCTAATAAATGTTTCTCTAAAAAATTTTGATGAAGTTTCTTAAGAAAAAAATTGAATTTGTAAACAAAAATAGAATAGCTACAAACCAGCCTAAATGTCATAAATACTAACTTAAAAATTTTTATTTTTGACATATTGTCAAAAATAAAATTTTGTTTAAAAAATTCTTCTTTGTTTAGTAACAAAAAAGAAGAAGATTTATTCACCATTGATAGATGCACGAAAAAATGTAACAAATACATGGAAAATTCAAAATGTGATATTTTACTGACTGCATATATAAATTAAATAGAAATTATATAATTATAAATTTTGCTTAAATTTTGAATTTCTGACCTTTTGTTTAAATTATTATCACTTTTGCTAATACAAACCATTTCCAAAAAAGTTCTTTTAAATTTATTACTTTCATTACATAAAATTTTAATATTATCAAAATCCATAATATGGTCTTTGTCTATTACATGCTCTGCCAAAGCACAAGATGGTTTCTTAATTCTACAATCACTCTTGTGAGAAATAATGCGATTTGAGAGATTTCTTCCAGTCTCACCAATATACTCAGCTTCACACTGAGTACAAACAATGCTGTATACTACATTTGTTTGATCTAATTTGTCTATAGGATATTTAGTTTTGGAATATAAAGATGAAATAGTTTTGATGTTCTTTGTTGCTATTTTTATATTGTCAATAACCTTTAATGTTTGTATTAATTTAGGAGTTAATGATGGTATAAAAGGTAGTGAATGATAATATATGTTTTGATTGTTGGATACAGTGTTTTGAGATTTAGCAAAAAATGGTGTTAAGTTATTTATATTTAATAAATTAGAAAAAAGCATCCTATGTAGCATATCTGGAGGATAAGAGTTTTCAATTAAAATATTTTTTAACAAATGAAGATCTTCTTGTAGATAGTCTGGATGAGAAAGTTTTAAAACACGTTCCTATTTATATATGGTTTGTAGCTATTCTATTTTTGTTTACAAATTCAATTTTTTTCTTAAGAAACTTCATCAAAATTTTTCAGAGAAACATTTATTAGAATAAGACATTTTTTTATTAATATTTTTTGTATTTAATATGTAAGCAGTAGTTTTATATAAAAAACTAATTTTATTTGGTGAGTTAACAAAAAATTTTTTATTTCTGGTTCAACTTTGTAAGATATTTTGTATTTTTTAGAAGCTCTTGATAAAAATTGTAATCACAATTGAAAGCTCGAGTAAAAAATAGTCAACAAATAGCCCCTTTTATTGACTCCAACCCATCAAAAACAGTTTTATATTTTTTCCAAACGAGTCACAAGTACTTCTTTTATATATATATATATATATATATATATATATATATATATATATATATATATATATATATATATAAATTTTTTCTTTCTAGTTCGACTTTGTAAGATATTTTGTATTTTTTAGCAGCTCTTGATAATAATTGTAAACACAATTGAAATCTCGAGTAAAAAATAGTTAACAAATAGCCCCTTTTATTGACTCCAACCCATCCTAAACAGTATATATTATGTATGTATGTATATATATATATATATATATATATATATATATATATATATATATATAAATGTACTAACTTTATTGTTTCCAAAAATGTTTTCCGGTCAGTTATTTCATCTGGAATTCTACTGAGGATCCTTTTCAGAGCTGCCGATTTTCTGTTTAATTCTTGAAATGCATCTTCTGAACGAGTTAGACGGTATTCAACCACTAAAACATTGAAAAAAAATTAGCTGCTTGAGAGCTGTCATTGCTTTTTTTAAGAATTTCTGAAAAATGGTCTTTTCTTTATTTTCTACACCTAAAACAATCTAGTTTTTTTAAAAAAGATCTACAAAGTACCAAATAAAAAGTATTTTATTTGCAGATTTTATGAAAACATACATTTTAAGTAAAAAATTATTACAATTTGCACATTATTACAATTACAATGATTAAAAATTTAGAAGGATTGCAGTTGAGGTAATTCAATATTCTGCTATAGATTGTCTCAAAGTGACTTGTCTGTACAGGGTAAATGTACAACATCGATGCCATACTTCTTTGCAAACTTGTATTAAAATAAACGTCACTTCTTACTACTTAGCCTAATCCATCTTTTGTGTTGAGGGTAGCTTAAGTACAAATGCCCACTAACGACCCTGCCTGGCTTCCTTCTGTCAATGGTTCTCAAACAAATAAATAATATTTGCTACAGCATACTTCCTCCAGGACCAGACGGAGTACAATCTGAATTTCTTAAACTTCTTGATGATGAATCTTTAAGAGTACTATGTAAAATCTTCAATAATATCTATGACACAGGCAATATCCCAAAAGATTGGCTACTTTCAGAATTTATTACCTTACCAAAGAAACAGGGAGCAAAAAAGTGCGGAGAATATAGGCTAATAAGTCTAATGAGCCATACATTAAAACTTTTTCTTAAAATTATACATCGTAGAATATACAAGCTATGCGAAGAGAGAATACAAGACACACAGTTTGGATTCATGAAAGGCGTAGGTACAAGAGATGCACTGTTTAGTCTACAAGTATTATTTCAAAGATGCAGAGATATGACTTGCGATATTTACACCTGCTTTGTGGACTACCAAAAAGCATTTGATACAGTTCAACACCAAAAAATGATGGATATTCTAACAAAAGCCCAAATGGATGATAAAGATCGGCGTATAATACAAAATTTATACTGGAACCAATCAGCCACAATAAGAACGAATTTTGGAGGTGAACCAACGGAAATGATCCAGATTCTACGAGGCGTTAGACAAGGTTGTATACTTTCACCTATATTATTTAATCTATATTCAGAGGAAATATTTAGTGAAGCCTTGGAAAAATGCGAACATGGAATACTTCTAAATGGAGAACGCCTAAACAACATCCGTTATGCAGACGACACCGTTATTTTTGCAGACAGTTTGAACAGTTTACAGCAACTAATAAACAAAGTAAATGAAGTAAGTGAAAGATTTGGACTTCAAGTAAATATAACAAAAACTAAATTTATGATCATCAGCAAAAATAAAGTTAGAGACGCTCAACTACTTATCAATAATACACCAGTGGACCGAGTAAAACAGTATAACTATCTTGGAACAACAGTAAATGAACAATGGGATCACTCACAGGAAATAAAATGTAGAATAGAGAAGGCTAGGAGTGCATTCAATAACATGGCCAAACTCTTTAAAAGCCACAATCTTAATCTGGAGATAAAAGTAAGGCTCCTACGATGTTATATCTTCTCAATATTGTATTACGGAGTTGAATCCTGGACACTAACTGAAGCAATGGAGAAAAAACTTGAAGCCTTCGAGATGTGGCTATACAGGCGAATTCTAAGGATATCATGGACATACAAGATAACCAACGAGACCGTATTACGAAGAGTGGGCAAAGAAAGAGAGGTGATGTATACCATTAAAAGGAGAAAGTTGGAATATCTCGGACATATAATGAGAAACAGCACTAAATACAGATTACTGAAGGTAATCCTACAGGGTAAAGTATTCGGAAAGCGAGGAATTGGGAGAAGGAGAATATCATGGTTGAAGAACCTGAGGAAATGGTTCTCCACAACAACAACGAATCTATTCAAAGCATCAGTTAATAAAATAATTATAGCCAGAATGATTGCCAATATTCGGAACGAATAGGCACTGAAAGAAGAAGAAGAACAGCATACTTGGGTTAAATTAAAATAAAATAGAAATTAAGAAATGCCTTTTATTTATATCACAAAAGCAGTTTGTTTTTAATTCTACAGTATGTGCTAGCGATACAAACCATTTGTTTATAGATTTAAATAAAATCGAATAAAACAAACTAAAATATAAAGAAACATTTTATTTATGTATTGCTCCGTTCAGAAGCTAAGGGGGGAAAGACTTTTAAAAACTGCACTGTATACGTTGGCAGTAACAAAACGTAGAAATATCTGAAAATAAAACTAATAAATAAGTTGAAAATAAAAGAAGTCATTGTACTTAATTTCGTGTGTAAATAATCGTAATTGTACACCATTATATTTAGTTCCTTTTTCTGTCAATCGCTGTCACATTTAGTTTCTGCTTAACTATCATCATCATCATTATTATCGTCACTGTCATCACTATCTCCGTTATTTATATTTATAATAATTGGTTCGATATCATCCAACAAATTGTCAATTTCCCACATTTTTTTTTCTGTTGCTATTACGTGGTTTACGTAGTTTTTCCATTCCTCTGGCGTAATGATCTGGTACGCTGCTGTAATTAAATTTCGCATTTCATCTTCTTTAAAATTCGCGTTGCGTCCAGCTATATACCGTTTCACTTCACTCCAAACCATTTCGATGGGATTGAGTTCATAGTGATAGGGTGGGAGCCTCAGAATCTTTACATTGTGCTTTTTGGCAATATCTTCTATTATGTGCCTCTCATATTTTACTTTGAAGGCCTTGACTACATCAAGTAACTCGCATTTTAGGTAGTCTTCTTTAAAAAATAGGTCCTTTGACAGAAGCCATTATTGAATATCTTTTTTTAGTGTTGAACTGTTGGGAATTTGTTCTGACTTTCTGCTGTGATAGGAGGCATTGTCCATTACCACAACAGTTTTTTTCTGGCAAATTTAGCATCAAGTTATTTTCGAACCAATCTTCGAAGGTCGGTCCATCCATTTCGTCGTGGTAGTCCCTGAGTATTTTTCTTTGCCAAAAACGTTAGCTCTGTTTGTCAAAAACCGTGCACCATGGAGCATTTAATCCTGTTGTCAGACCACGAACAAAAGCATCGCGATTAGATATAATTGTTTTATCAACACATTCTTTTTTCACATTGTGCCCGATATTTATCCATGATTCATCCAAATACACTATGTTGTATCCTTCTGCACGGTATTTACGAATTGCGCGTAAATAACGATGACGCACGAGATGGTGCGTTTTTCAACTGGTTGCAAACTGGTTTTTCAATCAAAATTTAATTTCTGCCACGTTTTATAAACACAAAATCCATATCACTCAGCAAGCAATATAGCGTGGCCCGTGAAAAGTTGGGCAAAGTTTCTTCGACATTTACAACAGCTAATATGGTGTTGGTATTGTTGGTGGTATGTTGTCACGAAAAAATTGATAAACTATTCTACGAATTTGACCCCTGACACCTTCATCTTACTTGTTGTCACGAGAATTACCAACCTTTCGCTTCTTGGGCTTGCTATTTGGAGATTGTAATCCAGCAGGTGATGAATATTCCTGTCGTATGCGGAACAAGAGTCTTTTTGCAAACACCACTCATTTCTGACACTTTCCTAATTACACTTGATACAGAATCGTTGTTATCCTGATTAAGATGATAATTAATAATATTCATTAGTATCTGCTTCTCTGAAAATTTCAGAGCTTTTCCACGTTTCCATTTAACAATTTCCTCCATTTTGCGGTAAAAATTCGGCGTCAAATATAACAAAAGCCAACAACAGAAAATAACAATAATTGCCAACAGCAAATCACAACAACAGCCACCAACAAATAATAACAATAACAAAACAGTAACAGTACATCCAAGATGGTACAAATAATCGTAACTCGAATATGTTTACGCGCTCCGAAGAACAAAAATAAAGATTAATTAAGGGCCTGGATGTATCACGCTTTTAAACATATTCTGTACAAGAATTACTCTAATTGCATCTTAATTACTGAATAACTTTGAAGTATTTGAAAAACTTTAAAACAAATGTTTATTTAATGCACATTTTATTATACCCCTGCTACCAATAAAAGATAAAAGTTAATGTAAAATTATTAGCAAACGATATTTGTAAATTACTAAACTTGTAAATTACTAACTGTAAAGGACTTGTTGAGAACTACTGGTCTATTCCGTTTATTTTGAAAGATAGACAGATAGCGCCATCGCTCACTGCATAAAACTGGCAACGTCTTGGCGAAATTCCCATAACGTTAGCATTACATATCTTAAGCTGTACAGACTAGTCACTTTAAGACAGAATATAATAGATTCATTTTTACCACAATGTTCATTATGAAAACTTGTATAAAATGTATTTGTACCTCTAAGCTGCCTAAAAGAAGCACATAATATATTAATATTCTATAGAATCAGCTAATTCCGTCATTAATCAACTTGAATATAAAACAAAACAAACATCATACATCCGTCTTCGAGATTTTAAACTGGATGTCTTCAGCTGATTTAAAATCATTTGGTAATTGTGTTTCTGTCTATTAAATTATTATATCTAAATATTAAATTATGAACAGAACCTAAGAAAGTAATGCTGAATATTTTCAATCAATGTTAAATGCACCTCATAATAGGGAGACATACTACCGAAGAATGCCGAATACCGAAGAAGATAGATTTACCAATGCACAATACAGCATTTTAACATATGTACAAGACAATCCCTTTTACATTCTGAATGACAAATTCCAACATCTTAGCTGCCCTTACTGCTGTTATATTTATTTGTTCTATGTACTGAAGTTGGTTGTCAAATATTATCTCTAGCTCTCTGTAGATTCAGAACTGTATTACTGTACATACTGTACATTTGAACTGTATTCAAATCCATAAAAAAAATACATAGTCTCACTATCCTTAAAAGAAGTTTCATTTTTATAATACATATCATTAAGCAAATAGGCAGATGATATTTTGTTGTTCACATACATACAAAAGTTTTTGGGGTTTGACAGGAGATTTCTATTGACATATGCAATATACTGATTGTGATATTGACTAATCAACACTTTGCATCTAGCTCTAAGCTCTGAAAATATATTATAATCTCTAATATAATTAGATTCTAAGTATCTATAATGTTGAAACTGTTTTTGAACCACAAAGTTTCTAAATTTGGAACTAAAATAACTAGGAAAGTATTATTTATATTTCTTGTAGGGTATAATTGATGTGTTTTCTGGGGGGATTAATTTTCCTTGCAACACACTGTATATAATTATATATATATATATATATATATATATATATATATATATATATATATATATGATATAGGGTGGGCCGCCAGTAACGCCTCGGTCTGTACAGCCGAAACAAGTATTATTTTCAAAACTCGGTTTACGCTACGAGGCCTAGATCCAAAAAGGCTACTTTTTAAAAATAATTTCAATTATACAGGGTGCTTTCCACAGGGAAAGTACTACACATCAAAGTTATGTTTTTTTAAATGGGACACCTTGTATTTTATTACATTTTTGAATTCTAAGAACAAAATAAGTGTCACTTTGTTAAAGGTTTGTTATACTTAGAGTCTACCGTTTTTGATATATCCAAGTATTTTTAAAAATAAGGGATGTTTAAAACATGCCAATAACTCCTAAATTTACTAATATTTAAAATTAATTTTTTTATGGAAGATTAAGAATTAATTGTACTCTAAAATCAAATACTTACTATTCAAAAATATTTTACAGGGTGTTTGCGAATTAGATATTTATTAGTGGCATATTTAAACATTAAAAACTGCTCTATTTTAAATGTGTGAACGTTAAATTAAACTGAATGATGATCAGCTTATAATAGGAGGAATCTATATACCACCTAGTTCATTAGCTGAGGCATATGAATATCACTGCACCTTTCTTGAGGAACTGATAAGTCAACATCCACAAAGTTCTGTGATCTTGGCTGGCGATTACAACCTGAGAGATGCTCAATGGGCCAATGATCAAAACGGGGTTTATTTATCTACCTTACTTCCTGATGGCTCTCATGCAAATACAGTATGTGGATCTTTTGCATTTTTAAACCTCAATCAGTGAAACAATATACCAAGACATAGAACATTCCTGGATCTCATTTATTCACATATACCTGATCTAAATGTGTGTACACTGGTCGATCCATTGTTTTGTGAATCATTCAGGCATAAGCCATATGAATTTTTTATCCCTATTGGCTATTTTAAAGAGTCAGTTTTTTATGAAGACTATGTTTATGATTTCAAAAACTGTAATTTTAATTCTGTTAACCTTTATCTGTCTTCAGTTAATTGGGATGCATTATACCATTATAATATACTGTCAAGTGTTCCTACAAGTTCCCAATTTGGTTCTCAATAAAACTTAAAGATCTTATTATTCAAAAGAAAAAAGCTCATCTGAGATTTAAATTATCTAAATCAAACGAGGACTACTTATTGTTCTCTAATCTGCGTGATCAATGTAAAGTTGAACATACACTTTGTCAGAAACAGCATTTTTCGTCTCTTGAAAAAAAATTTAGTAATAACCCCAGGGAATTTTGGGGATACATTGGCAGACTTCGTAAATCTTCAAGTTACCCACAAGAAATGTATCTCGGTAACAAAAGGGCACAGGGCAATATCGAAATTGCTAACCTTTTTGCTGAGTTCTTCTCTGGTGTATATGAGAAAGATAAAGGTGCTCCCATTCCAGATTTTGAAAACTGTGTCAGACACATTGACCCTGTAAACCTAATTCAAGTTGACACTATATAAGTGTTTGATGAACTAAGAAAACTTCCAAACAAATTCTCCTCGGGGGGCCCGATGGAATCCCACCAGTATTATTAAAGCACTGTTTATGCTCTCTTACTATGCCCCTAAAATATCTTTATAATTTATCTCTTATGACTGGTGAATTCCCTCCTTTCTGGAAGAACAGTTATATTGTACCCATTTTTAAGTCAGGTAAAAGGGAAAATATTGAAAAATACTGAGGAATTTGTATACCTTCAGCAATCCCAAAACTTCTCGACAAACTAGTGACTTCTCACTTATCAAAACTAACAAATAATATAATAATACACCAACAGCATGGCTTTCAAAGGGGCAGGAGCACAGTGTCAAACTTGTTGGTCTACCAAGATGATAAATTGGGTGCCTTTGAGAGGAAGTACCAGGTGGACAGCATCTATGCTGAGTTCTCAAAGGCATTCGATAAAGTAAATCATTGTTATTTAATCAGTAAGTTAGAAGCCATTGGTATAGCTGGCAAATGGCTTGATTGGTATGATAGTTTTCTTGTGGGTAACACCCAGAGCATTAAGATAAATGGTGTGTTGTCTCAATCTATTGACGTCCTCTCTGGAGTACCACAGGGGTCACATTGTGGTCCTCTACTTTTTGTCCTCTTTGTTAACGATGTTGAGAGAGTAATTAAGTATTCAAAATTTCTCAACTTTGCTGATGATAAAAAAATTTATAAAGTCATTACTTGTCAGTATGATCAAATTCAGCTACAAGAGGATATCAACAGATTTAGCGATTGGTGCAAACTAAATTAATTAATGTTGAACATTGATAAGTGTTGTGTTATTACTTTTCACAGGAAACAAACAATTTTAAATTACGACTATAGCATTGATAACACTCAGCTATCTAGACAGGACTGTGTTAAGGATTTAGGTGTTTATTTTTATTGCAAATTATCATTTCGTAAGCATCTAGAGGTCACAGTAAACAGTGCATTTAAACAATTAGGGTTTATAACTAGAAACACTTCTCAATTTTCATGTTTTGTTTTACCAATTCTTTTTAATAGTCTCATTCGCTCCAGACTTGAATATGCAATAGTTGTATGGGGACCTTACTATCAAACATCTATAGACAAGCTTGATCGTGTTCAGCATAAATTTGGTAAACACTATCATCAGTGTAGTGCTTTTCATGACCTCTCTGTCCCATACAGTTATAGTATGATAGCTGATCACTTAAAAATGGTTTCTATGAATCGGCGAAAAGATTATTTTTGCCTAATATTCCTTTACAAAATTGTTAATAATTTGATAAATTGCCTTGAACTTTTAAATCGATTAGGTCTTAACACTCTTAGAACAATTTAAAAATGTAATAAAGAGACTGCTATTTGTGTGATATTAGTTTGTATTCAAGTTAATTAATAGTTTTTGTTAAACTTACTAATTATTTTCCAATGTTATGCTTACTTTGTAAAATTTTATATATTATATATTGTTCCAATGTAAATGGTATATCCGTCAATAAATAAATAAAAAAAAAATAAAAACATTGATATTCTATTCATCTCTACTGGACCTATAATACGACGTTGTCATGTATGACTTTTACAAAGAATATTATCGTACTATAGATATTTTCTATATAAAAATATCATATATAAATATATTACGCATAAATATTGATGTTATGAAATAAATTTTATTAGATACCTTAACAGATACAAAACGATCATTATTCTATGATAATTTTGCTGCATGTCAAGGATAAAATTATAAATTGCTAGAATATCTATCATCACAAACTGACAACCATGTCATTTCCTTAATCACATTCACATTTCCGAGAAGCTACTGTCTAGAATTCTAAAATAATAGTATAGTAAGGATTGTTGTGATTACTATGAGTCATCTAAAGCTGTGAGAGTAGTATTAGCTAGCTAGCAGAAGGGTGTTGAGAGTAGTATTAGCTAGCTAGCAGAAGGGTGTATAACCTTTTTGCTTGCTTTTGATCACACTGCCAATAATAAATATTCGATTAGCAATTGTAACTGCTAACAAATCATAAACATGAAGGTAATATATAAAATAATTCAGATTTATTTACCATCGGAATCTGATACAGCTCCTTGTAAACGTAAGATACTCTCATTCATGTTCACAGTAAGATCGCCTTTTCGTAAAATGCCCATAATAAAATCATAGGTAAGTCCTGGATGGGAAGCTTCTGCCTTCGTGAGCGCAGAACGCAGTGTTTGGGATGCTGATACATCTTGTTTCTCCAACTAAAAAAATAATAAAACTGTTATACAAAAAGTGGAATCAATCAATGGAAAAATATATTATCAATAATTTAATTTTGAAATATAAGAGTTATTTTGTTGGCGTTCTTCTTATGAGGGACATAAACATGATTAAAAAAATGGACGTAGCCTATTTTTGCACAGATTCCAATCCCTAAACTATCACTTTTTAATGCTGGCTCATGAACTATATTGGCCTTGTGTATATATTAGCAAAAATAATAAAACGTTTTGGTGACATTTTGTTAATTCTTTTTGATAAAAAGTAAACTGTTACTGTTAGCTTTGTTAAAATTTGTTTAAACTTTGAACTCACAACCACATACCTCTGATAAAATAGGGCGTATTAATACAGGCAGTATTAATGTTGTCACAGGAGTTTCATCTCCCATTGTCATATTTTCTGGTTTTAGGATAATTCTATTCACCTATTATCTCGAATTGGACTATTCTAATGAACTAGACTTGAAAAGATAAGAATAATATAAAAAACATTTCTGAAAACAAAAAATTTATCAACAAATGTCACGTCAATTTCTATTGTCCTCTTCTTTTTGGAATATCGGTATCTGTATATGGAATTTCTAGCTATATTTTAGAATACCATACCAGGTTATTCCGAAATATATTTTCGATTAAAAAATAGTTCATTTTGTGAAAGATTTATCTATTTTGTGGGGTATAAAAAATTTATGACATCCGCTTTTATTAGATGCTATTTTGAGTTGCTCTTTTATTAGAAGCTATATTACTAGTTGCCTTATTTTTTGACTATTTAGAGCTTTTAAGAAGAAAAAGCTTTTTAAGAAGAAAAAAATATATTTAAGTGAACACTTTCATAGCCAGGATTCAAAATATATCTAATATATAATTTTTTTATTCGGTAAAAAATCTCTATGTGGCGGTAAATAACGTAAATTGCATACATTTGGCGTAAATCGGGTTACTCGTTTATAATTTGCGGTATAAAAATGTTTATTGATTCCTTTCATAAGTTTTTCCTCTTCTTCGTCCTCGTTTCATAAGAAGAGTTGGTATACTAATCAGTCACTAGTGTAATTCTTGACACATCCCTTCATTCATCCCAATTAGAAAATATTGGGGTAATTTCCAATTTATTCTCCAAAGATAGATAGATAGATTCAATGAGGTGGTATTCGGTCTATTCCACTGCAACCTTTTCAGATTCATTGTGGTCGCCTAATCCTAGATTACACTATCTAGCCTGACCTAAAAGGTCTAATAGCGTCGAGGCTGAATCGTTCATGTAAGTTTTTGCTGATTGCTTTTACTCGCCTAATGTAAAGAACCGCTCATTTGCTAGGCTGTTACACTGACACAATTTCTGATCTGCTGTTTCTTTCTCTAGGTCATAGAATCTACATAGAGCATCATCAGCTTACTCTGTTAACGAACCTACTATGGCTTTAACTGTTTTCCTTTCTTTACTTATTAGATGTGCTGTAAATTTTGGTGAATGTTCTATAATGAACTGTTTCACCTGTCTTTGTCCTGGTGAATTTCTTCACCATTTTATAGATTTGTGTGCTACCTACCTTCTTGTAACCGTTCTTGTTACTGCCTTTACAATGCCGCAGGAGTTCTATTAGATAATATTCTATTTCTTACCCAGTCTTTATGTTCTCTATTTGTACTTCTAGCTCTATCCCATAATGTCTTACCATCAATTTTTCTGAGTTCTCATTTTTGCTGTTTGTAACATTCTTTTTTTGCTCGTAAAACTTTTTCCGTGAATTCTTTTTGACTTTCCAAATTTCTTTAATTTATAGCGTTAGCTTATACCTGTAGGCATCCTCATCTTGGTTACTTCTCGGCTTTGTTAAAAAGACTTCTGACCTTGACTTCTTTAAACCGTTGTTCTACCGGACTGTATTACTGCCTGCATTCTTCCTTGTTTTTTTCCGGACAGTTTTCATAATAAGCCGCCATACTAGCTTCTTTCACCGTATCTGCTGCCGAATTTATAGGTTCGTACTTTCCTCGAGATTTCTACTGAGGAATTCTTTATATCCTACCCAGTTTGTATCTTTAGGAGTTTTGTATTTATTTCCAATGGAAATAAATTGAGGTCAAATCATATATGTCTGTGATTCGAACATGAGGGTTCATCAGACACATGCCGTTTTGTTACAATATCACTTACTTTGCTTGTAAAGAGTGTTAAATCTACCACTTCTTTGAATGCCCTAGTGACAAAAGTTGGTTTGTTTCCTATATAGGATATAATTAAACCTTCAAATAGGATGAAATTCAAAATAGATTCACCCCTGGCGTTAATGTTTGTGCTGCCCCATATGGTGTGGTGTGCGTTTGGCATCTCGTCCTATAATCAGCTGAAATCCTTTACCTAGGTCTTTTATTTTCCCGTGGAAAATACTTTTGTGGAATTAGGGATTAAAAAAAAACAAAAAAGAACAGTTCCCTTAAGGAGGCAGGTGCTGATAAAAGTGGCATTGACAATGGAATTTGCTCCTATTGTAAATTGTAACACCACTGTTAAACAAGACAACGTCTAGTATTGCTATGGACTCTAACAATACTTTGCCCCGTGCATTAGTTTTCTTTCTGCATCAATCCACTGCCCAGGCATTGAAATATCCGGCTAGCGTCACGGGAAAATGCTGTTTGCATCCTCAATCAGTCGATACATAAAGTCAGTAGACTCATTGAGTACGAGGCTAGGCGCAGCATAACAACTGTAGAAATGGATACCGTCTACCTTCGCCATTACAAAGTCAGCTTCTGTGTTTTAAACCACGTTCTATAAAGGTAACTTGCCACATGACAGCTTCATCGGTGCTGCCCATTTCCCAAGGTTGGGTAGTTAGATGCATGTATGGCTCAGATATTAGCGCCAGATATATATTTAGTTCATGTACAATCTGTATGAGCAGATCGTCTGCATCTTCACAATGGTTAAGGTTAAGCTGTACTACCTTCATAATCATTTACCTTATCTTCTGGAGTGCCTCTTTGTAGACTAGGCACCTGCTAATACTTGCTATATGAGCACACGTCTTCGGGTTGCCCTTTTTAATGCAATAGACAAATCTGGCTTCCTTCCTACATTCTACAACATGTGGTTGTGGCCTCCTTTTCCACATGTCATGCAGAATTGGGTCAGGTCCACTTCGCTTTTGCATTGGGTGGCGAGATAACCATAATACCATCATTTAAAACATTTGGTTGGTCTTTTCACGGACTTTATTTTCAATTAACCCAGCCAATCCTGATCTTGCCATGTTCAACAACAATCTTTTTTGCTATTGGTACTTCCAGTGTCACTAACGCAGTCTGGTGCCTCTATAGACTTTTCGCAATAATATGATTGCGTCCTGCTGGATTTGATGCTGTTCTTCACCCGACTTTTGTAGCGCTAAAAGGATTTCCTCTTTCGTCGCCAAAATATCCAGATCTCGAATTTCTAGATCTTCTTGCGATCTTTTACTAATGAGAGTAGCGTCATTTTTTAAAAGGTCGGTAATAGTTTTCTTTAATCCTAGACCTCCAGCAGTATTCTGTTAGCTAGGACAATTAACAGGTCTCCAGTAACTATCCTCTGAATCTTATCAATTATGGAACGAACTTGTTCTCCAGGGATGCCCTTCTTGATTCGATCGAGTATCTCAGCATATTTTGCCTTTTCTATCGGTAGGATTACCAGTGCATTGGGTTTAATCGCTAATCTACGTCGATTTTTCTGCTTAGGCTGCTGCTTTAACTGTTGTGTTTTTCGCTTATTTTACCTCTCTTTATTTGTTAGCACCAGTTTCCAATTACTTGCCTTCTGAACAAAAAACTTAGTTGGAGACTATTCATCCCTAGAATAAAAACAAGATGTTATAAAGGATTACATTTTCTAAAACTTATTCGAAAACTTGGTGTGGATCTGTGCCCGTCAAACGAATTTCTCTCCCGAAGTTTATTAAATTTGGAGTTACGTCAGTCACTTCATGCTTGGAACATCTCATAGCACAGGTGATTTTCGGTAGAATCTGGTCCCAATGACGCTGATCTTCCGAAACATAGGCTGTCAACATGGTCTTGATGACTCGATGTGGCCGCTCTACCGGATTTGCCTGTGGATGATACAATGCGACATATTTGATCTCTACCTGATAATTTAACATAAGATCTGAGAAGGAATGGCTAACAAATTGTACACCATTGTCAACGATAATTTTCTTTGGCACCCCATATACGAGAAAAACTTCATTTTCGAGAATCTTAGCTATATTTGTGGCAGTTGCAGTTCGAAGAGGATACGCTAAGAGGTACTTACTAAAACAGTCTAAGACAGTTAAAATAAAAGTAAAGCCTGTGGTGGTTCGTGGTAACGGTCCTACTAAATCTACGCTAATTAACTATCATGGACGGGACGCGGTTGGTTGAGCAGATAACATTTGTCCTTGGGGCAATTTTTGCTCCGGTTTAATGCGTTGACAAACCATACATCTCCGTACATAGCGTGCTACGTCTGCACGCATCTTAGGCCAGTAAAATTTTTGAGTTATCCTAGCGAGGGTTTTGGTAACACCTAAATGACCATAAGTAGGTGGATCGTGATGATCTTTAATGGTTTGAATTCGTTTGTCTCGTGGAATAACTTCTAACCATTCTGAGAGTCCTAAATCTGGATACCGCGGCTTGGTATTTTTAAAAAGTTTATCGCCTTCCACTGCCCACAAAGGAAATTTGTCAGGAGCTGCGTTCACTTTGAATAGCATATCGGAGTACCACTGGTCATTAGACGAAGAGGTTGTCACAGAATCGATGGAAGGAGTGACAGCTCGTGAAAGCGCATCGGGTACAAGATGGTCCTTACCTTTTCTGTGGACGACTTCAAAGTCATAAGCCTGTAATCTTAAAGCCCATCTTGCAATCCGTCCTACAGGATCCTTTATGCTGAACAACCACTTCAAGCTATAATGGTCCGTGATTACAACAAACTTAGACCCTTCCAGGTATGGCCTTAATCTCTCCACTGCAAAAAGCACCGCGAGGCATTCTTTTTCAGTGGTGGAGAACTTTCTCTCATTTTTGGTGAGAGATCTGCTAAGATATGCTATCATATGATCGCCATCCGGATGACGTTGGGAGAGAATGTCTCCTAAGCCATAATCGCTTGTATCCGTCTCCACAGTAAATGGAAGATTGAAATCGGGGCATGTCAATATTGGTGCAGATACTAGACACTGCTTGATTTCACTCAAAGCTTTCTCACATAACACATCCCAAACGAACGGCACGTTCTTCTGGGTCAATCTCGTTAACGGAGATACTAAATTAGAGAAGGACGGTATAAAGCGCCTATACCAGGATGCCATTCCAATGATTCTCCTGACTTCCGCTACCGTTCGAGGAGTTGGAATTTTTAAGATCGCATCAACCTTATCAGGATCAACTAAAAGTCCCGATCTATTAATGACATATCCGAGATATTTTAATTCCTGACGACAGAAAACCGATTTTTCTTTATTTAAAATTAACCCCGCTTCAAGAAGTCTGTAAAGGACC